TTTTCCTAGGAAATTACATCAAATTAGGGATCTGTTCATGGCATCTGTTCAATAGATTAACATTGGGAAAGTAACACAATTTCCACTGTCAAATAACATGTTTTACAGTGGGAAATGCAGTGGTAAATGCAGTGTAACAACAGGACTTACAGTGCAAATCCCACATATAATTACAGTAGAAAAACAACACAATTTCCACTGTAAAATAACATGTTTTACAGAGGGAAATGCAGTGGTAATTACAGTGGAAAAACAACACAATTTCCACTGTAAAATAACATGACTTACAGTGGGAAATACAGTGGTAAATGCAGTGTAACAACATGACTTACAGTTTAAATCCCACATATAATTACAGTGGAAAAACAACACAATTTCCACTGTAAAATAACATGTTTTACAGTGGGAAATACAGTGGTAAATGCAGTGTAACAACATGACTTACAGTGTAAAATTAACATGTTTTACAGTGGGAAATGCGGTGCAACAACATGACTTACAGTGTAACAACATAAATTACAGTGTAAATCCCACAGATATTTACAGTGTAAATTCCATTGTAAATTTGCACTGTAAAAACATGTTTTACAGTGTATATTCCACAGATATTTACAGTGTAATTTTAAAGTGTAAAAACTACTATAAATTCCTTGCTTTACAAAATGTAAAAATCCTAGTGTGAACACTATTGTAGTTAACTTGTAATAAGCAGTTATTCACATTGTAAATCCAATAGTAAAAACTAGAGTAGTTATAGAGTTTTACAACGCAAAATTCCTGAGGTTCTTCTATTTAAAAATGGGTTCAGGAGAGGAGCATGATGACGGTACTAGCTGAAGAAGACCTACTGAGACTGTCACAAGAAGAACTGATACTCAATGTAATATACAGTAGCTAAACTTTTCCCCTTCATTTATGCTGCATGAGCTTGTTCAATATGTTTGCAAAAAAAATACTGAAATGATTATGCTGCAGGATCAATTTTCATTCACTGCCCTCCTTCATTCAGAAATTATATACAAGGTAAGAAATTCCAAAAAATACAAAAAAATCAACTACTGCAAAAAAATGATACAAAAATGTCTTAATTGTAAGGTGTGATATCTCATGCAGGTACACTCAGGAGATGCATCGATGAATATTATGGGAACTATTGAGCAGAACTCCAGGAGCAAAGCAGATGATACTTTCAACACAACAATAGACACTAATGTAAGGAAAGATATCCGCTCAATAACAATTACAAGAAATACCAAAGGAAACACAATAACATTCTTTATACTGACATACTTTGCAGACACTGGAGGGAGTCTTGCATCACAAAGTGGCAGCAAGTGAAGATGGAGGAGCAGAAACTAATCCATGGGACACGAACCTGTTCTACAACGTGAATCTGCAACAGGTACAAACTACAAAAACTTCGGAAAGAACAAACGATGAACATAAGAGAAAGTTGACACATTATATCAGGAGAAAAAACTAACACAAAACCCTAAAGTTGCAGGAGCCTGATGATGTTGACATAAGGGGAGCAGCAGGCAAAACAAACTCAAGCACATGCCATAGCAATGAAGAAGGAGAAAGAAAGGAACCAGAACACTCACTTGAACAAGACGGAGATGATAAATTCCTCGATGAAGAAGACATTGAGGGATTCCTGCAAAATGAACAAGATGCTGCATCAGAAGGCAATCTGATGAACACTAGCAGTAATTTCAAGCCACAATTAGGCATGCAATTCAAAACAAAGGAAGAAGCTCAGGAATACATAAATTTCTACTCGAAACTGGCAGGCTTTTCAATGGCTACTGTAGCAATCTCCAGAACAACAAGCAAGAAGAGGAACAACGAGGTCACAAGGATCACTATGAAGTGCAACAAGTGGGGCAAAACAAAGGAAATAGAGACAGAATGCATTGTGCCCACGAGGAAAAGTACAGTTATTGCTAAAACTGATTGTAAAGTTGTGGTGGTCATATCATAGAAAGGAGGTTTTTGGGAAATTACAAGACAACAACTCGAACACAACCACGAGTTAACACCAAACAGTAGATTCTTCAGGTCACATAAGTACATGTCGGATGAAGAGAAGTGCTTGATACGGGTTTTGAAGCATACTAACCTGGAAACAAGAAGGATTGTTGTTGTCCTAGCTTACTTGAGAGGAGGAATGACTCATCTTCCCTACACAAAGAAGCATGTGACTAACTATGCAGCAACAATATAACAGAGATATCACAAACTCTGACATGATGGAAGTAGTGCACATGTTCAACAAGAAGCAAGCAGAAAATCCTGGGTTTTGCTACTCATTTGAGCTTGATGGAGATAATAAAGTGAGAAGCTTATTCTGGACAGATGTTAGGTCAAGAATGATGTATGACATTTGTGGTGACTGCATCAGTTTTGACACTACATTCGTGACAAACAGATACAACCTTCCATTTGCACCCTTTGTTGGAATATCCCCGCATGGCAGCACATACTTGTTTGCTTGTTCCTTCATTATCAATGAGACGAAAGAAACATTTGCTTGGTTGTTTGAACAATTCCTAATGGCTATGGGAGGGACGCATCCTATATCGATCATTACAGATCAGGACAAGGCTATGCAAGCAGCAATTGAAGAAGTGTTTCCTAATGCTACCCATAGGAGCTGCCTGTTTCACATAAAGAAAAAGGCAGAGGAGAAAGTAGGCCCATGTTTCCAAGCTAATGAAGGCCTATATGAAGATTTTCAGGACATTGTGGACAACTCTTTGACTGTGGAAGAATTTGAAACACAATGGCGAGAAATGATTGAAAAGTACCAAGTACACGACATAAAATACTTCAGCGACATGTGGGAAAACAGGAAAAAGTTCATACCGGTGTATTTCAAGGACAAATTCTTCCCATTCATACAAACTACAGCAAGAAGTGAAGGAACAAATTCTCTCTTCAAAAAAGGGGTTGGAGCTAAATTTAGTGCCACTAGCTTTTTAAGAGAGTATGATCGGATTCTTGATGTTGTACATGACATGGAAGAAGAATGTGATCATGTTTCTAGAAACAAGAAGGTTGCAAGCAAAGCGTTCTGGTCAAAATACAGCATAGAAAGGCAATCGCATGAGCTATACAACCTTGGAATATTTAGAAAGTTTCAGCATAAAATGGCAGACACAACAAGGCTGCATGTCTTTGAGCAAGAAAAAGACAAATACTATATAGTTACCCAAGCTGAAAACTACCCTGTAAAAGAACGCCGGGAAAGGTTTTACCTAGTGCAAGTTGGACTGAAAGAAGAAGAGTACTCCTGCATCTGTTGCACATTCCAAAAAGATGGATTGTTGTGCTCATACATACTACGAGTAATGATCCATCTCAACATCGAGAAGATGCCAAAAAAGTACATCATTGACAGATGGAGGAAAAATGACTACAAGCTCGACATTGCAAAGACACCAGCTGTTGCAGCAGAGAAATCCACACTAAGGTACAATGTGTTAGCAAGGAAATTGTTGCATGTGGCATCAATAGCTTCAAAGAAGAAGAGGAAGTATGAATATCTGCTGGGAGAATTGGACAAGATACAGAAAAGATTGCGAGAAATGGATGATGAAGAAGAAACTGGAGATGAGGGACAGAGTGTAACCACAAGAACAGTCACTTTCATACCAACAACAAGGGGTGAAGAGGGGACAACCACGGCACTGACAATACAAGACCCAGATATAGCCAAAACAAAGGGTAGGACAAGGATGCTAACTATTAGCGAAGCAATAAAACAGAACAAGTTCTACAAATGCTCGCACTGTGGATCAGAAAGGCACACTCTCAAGAATTGCACCAACCTTGACAAAGAATACAATCTACCCAGAAGCAACAGACGAAAGCAGTCGAACCCTAGGAATGTGAAAAAAGGTATTTTAATAATCATCTTGTACCCCTATGCTACACTTACTTTAATTCAAGAATTTAAAAATAACAAAAAATGCAGGTGGGGAGAAGGATGGCAGCAAGCATGGGAACAGAGGAAAGAAGAAGAAGGACGAATCAGCAACAACAAAGGCTTAGGAGACAAGAATGGGAGGAGGACATAGGATAAGACAGAGGCTTAGCAGGAAAGAATCTGAGGAGGACATATGATAAGACAGAAAGGACAAGCAAGGCAGATGACAAAGGAAAGGAAAATAGGGAACTCTAGGGAAGAGATGGTTATGAACAAAATACTTGACTTGTACTAAGAGGGCAAGCATTGTTTGCTACCTACTGTCTATTGAAAAGGCTACTTTATGAGGCATGAATTTCGTGCATTATTTGTGCCTTACGGGATGAAAGTTTCACATTCAACATGTTTAAGATTATTGAGTAAACTTATAAAATACAGTAAGTAAACTAGACAAGAAAGAGCAGCGAGAAAAAGCTGGCAATTGAAATACCTTGATAGATAGTCATAGATTTGCTTGTTTGGAAGTTTCTTCAACAACTTTGGAACTGTAAAGCAACACTGCAACAAAATAAGAAGAGGCAAAAAAATTAAAGAAAGCAAAATGAAAAAGAATAAGATGTGGAAAATAGCTATAAACAATTACTATATGCTGATAAAAGTAGATATTGAGGAGAGAACTTACTTAATACTAGATGTAAGCTAGATGTAGCCAAAATCAATAGAAAAAGACTACAACATGCAGATGGATCAATAGACTGCATGAAAAATCATTCAGCCAACAAAGATATAGAAATTGAGTAAATGAATCAATATAGTGCATCGTAAAACTAAAACAAACCGTGCGAAAAAACATTCCCAAATACAAAAAGGGCTTGAACTGTTACAAAGACGGTGATACAACTCATCAGCCCCAAAAAGTACATTAACCTAGAACAATCTTGCGCCAACATAATATTGTTTGAATCAAAACCAACACATTGATAAACTATACAAGCTAATAAAAGACCGAAGGATCTCCAGACTTGTTGACCATCAAGAAAACTCTGCAGTTGATGACCATGAAAAACCTTCACTTTCGATCACCACTCAAAAAGGAAAAGTTATCTAGTTCTGCGCCTGCCAGAAAAGTCAAAACAATAGTCAAAAAACACTTACAAGATAAACACAATCAATCAATGACTAAGGCAAAAATAATAATCAGAGACTACACTCACGTCACCAAAGAAGTTTGTGACAAGAGACTTGTGAGCAGTGTTGAATGTGCTGAAATAAAGTTCATTTGCGAGCTTGATCCTGATGTTATCTATATCGGCTTGCGTAAAAAGATTGCCAATAGGAGTTCTAGGAGTCCAGTGCTTCATGTACATCACTGAGAAAACACCACAATCATACCTGAAAAGAAAAATGAGCAACAACAATTATGCCACATATCAAAACTGAAAAATAAAAATAGAGAGAAAGAAACAATTATGCCACATAGAAAGAAAGATACTGTTTGACATACGTGTTATTTTGCTGACGGACCGCGGGATACACAATGTCGAAATTTTCAAAGTCAATACGCTTCCTCATTATAGGACTCACATATGTGTCCCATAGATTGGTGAAGTTATTAACCTGAAATAACACAAGGGAACAAGAGAAATCATGAAACTCATGGAAAAAACCAAAAAAGGGAATCTAGAGAGGAAACATTAAACCAAAGAAAAAACTTACAATCTGATCATGAATGGCTAGGTGAAAATCTGAGAACTCGCCATATAATGAATCGAGGAAGACAAACAGTCTCTCCTTCAAGCAAACCACAAAGGAAAACCAATGATTGAACCTACAAATAGGGAAGTACAGGTGGCAAAAACAAACAACACATCAGAAAACCTATGTGGGAAAAGCTACACGAGACTAACACACACAAAATATGACTATATAAACTATGATGTTAATCAGCACCTACCATATTGCTCCTCCACATAGGAAAAGCACTATTAGCACCATTGAAAGCATTACCAACAATCTCAGCAACAGTACCATCCAAAATAGTTTCCTAAGTAAGTGAAAAAATAAATTGTAAGTCAAAAAGAAAACAAACTATACAGACAACAGAAATTGCAAGAGAAGTTTATTACTACTTACACCAATATAAGAGAAGAAGAAATGCTTCTTGGAAACGGAAGGGTGGGCTTCATTGAATAGATATCGACAAACATACAAGATCAAGAAATTGTCTACACGAGATTTAAACTGAAGTGAAGAAAGGTTACGATAACTGCAGTAAGCTCTTTCATATCGAATAGCTTCGTACCTACAAGAAATACACAAAGATCAGAATCATAAAAAAAGGACATACAAAAACCAAAAACATCACTAACAGTAAAACTTACTTGCACCACTCTGGATGACTTGCAATCTGAACCATTGCAAGATGATTACGCCTTTCTTGAGCAGTAACTGAATAACGGTTGACTTGAGGAACATAAGGATCTGAGTTGAATCTACCAGGGACAACTATTCTACGAGGGACATGAGCTGCAGAAGAACTAGTTGTAGAACCACCACGGGCTGAAATGATGGGGCACCTTTCGAACATGAAGCAACTTTAGAAAGATGAGCACTAGAAACAACAGGCATGTCTGATAGGATCTCTAATTCTGGGCTATTAGCAACCTGAAAAGTGAGAAGATGAAAGATCAAACAAAGCAAACGCATAAAGAAAAGGAAAAAAATGAAAAACAAAATACAAGCATTAAAAAAAGTTAAAACCAATAAATAAATACCTATACCTTGACAGAGTTACGATAACTTGTTGCAGGGGCAGCAAAATTGTGCATCTTGTTGTAAGTAACGTCATTTGATCTAGATAGCTCTTGACACCTAGCTGAAAAGTTTGAGCTACCAACTTTTTGGACATCAGATACTGCCTCATTGAGCTTCACATAAAAAAGATAAACAAAGCATGAATAAAATTTCAAAAAACTAGCTAGAAAAAAAGATAAATGCATTACTGAATAGAAAAGATAAATGCATTACAGAAAGTAAATCACCTTCAAAACAGCTTTGGGAGTTTTGTGATTACATCAGGAGAACATAAGTCCACGGTGGGCGGGTTCACATAATTGGTTGGCTTTGAATGATCAGAGTGAGCAACATTAACCATAACAATACAATCCTAGAAGAAACAGAATAAAAAATAATAGAGAAAGAATTAAAAAAAATAAAAATTAGTACAACACGAAAATAATAAAAAGGAAATACAACAACAAACCTCGTCATTAGGCGAATTGAACGACTTCAGATATCTATCAACAACATACTGAGAACACTGGACATCACCCAACTACAGAAAACAAAAAGCCATGAGAAAATCAAACAAATTTGAAAAAGATGAATTTAGATACTAAAATGCAGGAAAAAAAATAGATGAAGTAGAAAAAAATACTAACCTCATTATGGAAATACTGCGACAAGCGAATTGGAAGAAGAGGTGACAGGACTCTAAAAGAATTTGTATCTTCAATAGTAGATTTTTCATGAGCATGAACTGGGGTGTCATTACAGACATTAGCAGGAGGCTGAATGCCAAGAACACGATTAAGCTCCGCTAAAGATGGAATGCCAAAAGCATTGACATCATCTTTGTCATCACAATCCTTAGCAGGGCCATCTTCACAAAAAGAATAAAAAAAATCAATTCACATAAATACCTGAAATGGAAAAAACATGAAAATAATAACTAAAACAAATACCAGAAAGCAACACGAAAGAATCGACATCAGTGATCTCACATCTAGACTTTGAAGGAGAAATACCTGAAAAATAAGAAAAGAAAACACAACCTGAAAACAGAGCAACTGAAGATACAAAATAGAATAGGGAAACTAATATGCAAAACAAACAAAACAAAAGAGCATATGGAACCTTTAGGTGGTACTGCAGCAATTGAATCTTTCGCTTTATCTTCAGAAAACAAAGTGCATACTGGAACAGGACCTTCTTTTGCAACAGCCTACAAATCAAGAGAAAAAAATTGAAAAGATCTGTGACAAGGAATAAAACTAGAAATAAAGCATTCTAAGAAAAGAAGAACATGCGCACCTCATTACGCAGTTTAGCAGGTGTTGAAGAGCTAGATAGCACAACTGGATTATGTAAACCACCAAAGATAACAACAGGAGGGACAATCGGAGTAACGACCTCTAGAGTGACAGCAGGACGACTCTCTTGCTGGACAACAACCTCTGGAATACCATTAGATTTAGCAATCTCTAGAATACCATCAGATGTAGCAGCCTCTGGAACAACATTAGATTTAGCGACCTCTGGAATACCATCAGATTTAGCAAAAACCCCATTGGCGATAGCAGAATTGAATGAGACAGACTTATTACCTACAAAAACAAATAGATGACAAGCAGGAAAAGCAATCTAAATAACGCTACAACAACAAAGATAAAAATACAAAAGCTACATGTGACAAAAAAAGAAAAGATTATGAACTAACCAAAAGAGAATTTGCTCATAGACTGATGCTCGCTTCCAGACACTTTGGGCACAGATGAATTCAACACACATTCCAGAACATTTAAAACAAGAGACTCTGCCCAATCAATGAATATATTAGGCTTGTCTTGGTTTCTAGTCTGAACAAGCTCAATGACTTCCAAAGCACTCTGAACAAGAGACAGAATCAGCAAAAAGCAACAAAAAAATTAATCAAAAAAGAACAATCTAACCAGAACAAATACCTGAGATCCAAAGTGAGGACAAATAGTTCTTTGAACTTTCATTGCAAAAGAACCATCAGAAGGACCAATACCAAAACTCTTACTGCCTGTGGATTTTTCAACAGAACCCTGAAACAAAAACAATAGTAAATACACCGACAAAACATAAAAGTAAAAATGGATGAATAAAAGAAACAATGAACTAAAAATAAACACAGAACATGAAAAGAAAAAGAAGATAACCTGCATATTAATTGGAGCACAGAGGCGTTTCAGTGGCCTCTTTCCAAAAGAGCGGCTGTTATTTCGGTCAAGCTCTGCGAATTGCTTGACTTTGTTACCCCTCCATGCAAGAGTATAAGGTTTCACATCAGGTACAGAGTGAAGCCCAAAGTTCAAATGATCAAGGTAAGCTACCTACAAAAACAAACACATAACAAAACAAAAACAAGTTAGCACTAACCTAAATAATTAACATTCAAAATAAATTAAGGAGAACATAAATAAAAAAAGAAAAAAGAAAACTTACAGCAAAAGCGTAATGGCATCCATCGAAGGTCACTGATCTTTTGGAAGCAACTTTAGTAGCATCCTTGAATTTTTTTGATGCTACTCAAAAGCCACTCGTAAACAAAACTAGAAAGATCATAGGCACACACAGACTGACAATCCTGAAAGATGTGGAGGTACTTCGGACTAGGACTAAGACTAGAGTTGGGACAAAGGAAAGTAGAGCAAGCCACAATCATGAAACAAATGAACACGTCCTCATCAGACAAATCAACTTCTGCAGATTTTAGCTTGTTGGCAAAAAAGGACACTGGTGGGATACTGGTAAGATTGAAATGAGAAAGGATAAAATCACGACCAGCTTCAGGATCTGAAACAACGGGCTCACAGTCTACTGGGAGGTCAAGGATGTCATGGATATCATACTTAGTTAAGGGTATGAATTTCCTTTTCAACTGAAACTCAGAAGCAGGAACATCGAACCTAGATGCAAGCCACTTAACTAGCCTAAGAGGAACCTCGGTCCGGACAAAATTAAGAAGACAGCCCATGCCATACTTCTGAATAACACCCTTGTACCTAGAACACAAGCCATCAACAACTGGTGAGAAGAACTTTCCAGAATATCGAGTGAATGTCGCACAAACAGGGTAATCGGAAGATCGTTTCTGCCTCTACAAAAAAATATAACAAAAACTACATTAGAAATAAAAAAAATCGAAGATACAGAGGGGGAATCCCCTAACAAAAGAACATGGAACATAGAACACAAAAAGAAGAGAAAAAGAGACTTACAACATTCATTCTACTAACAGAAGACAATTTCCTCTTCAGGAGCTTGACTTTCTACACAAAACAAATACATAAACATCAAACCAACATAAGAAAAAGATAAAAAATAAAAAAGATAATCATCAAAAATAAAAATGGATCAAACAAAATACTTACATTGTTCACATAGAAATTGTAAAGAGCTTTATCAAGCTCTACATCATCACCAGAACAATCCTGAAAAAAGAAGAAGTTCACACAAATAAACAAATAATATTAATGCATATGAAAAAACTGAGAATGAAAGATAATAAGACAAAGATAACTACCAAAGACATAGCTTTATCATCAGCAAAATCGTTAGGCACGAAAGGTTCTTTTGAAGAATCAGCACTCTCAACAGAAGAAACTAGCGGGGCATCCTTGGGACAGACTTTCCGTATTCTGCCCATTGAGTTACTAGCTGAAAAGCAAGAGAGGAAATGGGAATCAAATTAAAAGAGTAAAGTGGAAGTGCAAAACCTATGCAACTTAACAGCATTAACCTAATAGAAAAAAACAATTCAAAAAAAATGGGGTTATAGTCTAGCTACTGTACAAACTACAAAGAAATTATAGGTACATTGAACCAACAGAGCATCAGCTTACATAGCCACAAATTACACTGTAATTAGGGGTAAAATTACACTGTACATTGGATTCCACTGTAATTCCACTGTAATTATTAGAGTAAATACACTGTAAGAAAGTGTGCTGTAATTAGGGGTGAAACAGGCATCAGATTTCACTGTAATTCCTCTGTAATTATTGGAGTAAATACACTGTAAAAAGTGCACTGTAATTAGGGGTGAAAAATACACTGTGATTAGGGGTGGAAAACATTGTAAAAACGGGCATCAGATTCCATTGTAATTCCACTGTAATTATTGGAGAAAAATACACTGTAATTGGGAGTGGAAAAACACTGTAAACACGGGCATCATATTCCATTGTAATTTCACTGTAATTATTGGAGTAAATACACAGTAATTAGGAGTGGAAAAACACTGTAAAAAACAGGCATCACATTCCACTGTAATTCCAATGTATTTATTGGAGTAAGTACACTGTAAAAAGTGCACTGTATTTAGGGGTGGAAATACACTGTAATTATGAGTGGAAAAACACTGTAAAACGGGCATCAGATTCCACTGTAATTATGGGTGTTGTTACACTGTAAAAAGTGTATAATGTGAAAGCGTTACAGTCTAACTACAGAGCCACTACACATCAATTTTGCATCAGAATACAGCAAGAGTTCAGCTAGAAAAAAATTCACCCTGCCCCTTCAGCTAGAAATGATGCCAAAAGGATACACATACACACTAGTTAGGGAGCAAGTTGCACATCAATTAGAACATAATAAAAACACTGGGCAAAAAATACTGCAAGGGGGACAAATAATAACTAAAAAAGAACAAAGTACAGCAAAGCTATATATGGCGCATAAGGGAGCAGTGAAGATCTACAGCACAAAGATGCATTGAATATAGGTCAACTGCTAGGGTGAGAAAATACACAGCATAACTTCATGCGCGTACAACTG